CACCAAAATATCTGTCATAGCTACTTTTCCAACTAATCCAGAAATACATATTGGGATACATTTATGTACAAAAGTAGCTATGTATTCAACTAAAAAAAAGGCTATTTTCATAAACAAAATCACATAGGGTTCGGGTTACTGCAATTCTTTCTGGTGTCAATAACTTCACCACATCTTGAGCAATGACACACTTTCTTCTGCTAGAATTGCAATTTAATCCTCCTAACTATGGACCCTCTAGGATGGCGAGTAGTTAATGGTGGTTGTAGGAAGATAGTGGACGAGTAATCTTCATATCAAAGGAAATCTAGTCTATAAATATTATTGGTCTCAATTGGGATCATGAGTCTATCATAAATTTTTTCTTGAGTTGAGAGGAAAAAGCATTCCTCCACATATGCATATACACACATATATATTACCATATATCTTCTTGATTGCAGCATACGCATGTAGGCACAGTAGGCCTGACATCTGCCAACCTTTGCAAGTGCACATTTACCCGCACATTTGACTCTAAAATTGTTCATTCCATAATCTTATACATTCATTCTTTCTTATCTAGCCACATGATCTATCAAATTTTCCTCTATATTTGGTCTCACACCATTCGTCTAATTCCATATGGCCAAGTTGCTATTATACATCTGTTTTGCTCTTTTTTTTCCCCATGATCATGTATCAAGACAGCAATATTGTGCATCCTCTCATGAACCAGCCAAACATTAAATGATTCAACTAGATTTGTAGTGATACTGTCCTACTTCTTGTAAGAAAATTTGCTTTGTGCCTAATGTTCAATGTTTCCATTCCTTTGAAGCTATTGTCCCAATTCTAGACAAAATCTGTCACATCCAATAATTTGATAAATAAAAGTAAGGATATTTCTAGATAGTAAGAATCAGAATAATAAGAAGAAATGAAATGACACAACTCTTAAGGTTAAGTTAATGTCAGAGCAAAAGTATAATTTCTAAAAGTTATGGGCAAACTTACATAATTTTGGAAAAATATATTGAAAATTCCCAAATAGTATTAGATAATTATGGAAACTAGGAAAAATCCCCCGAACAGTATATTAGTCTCAAAGAGTTAGAATTTTGATGGGAAATATTAAATTTTTAGTAATTATAGAAGTTTGACTAATTAAGAAAAATTGGTTAAAAATTAATTATTGAAAATATTTGTGAGTCTTAGAAAATTGAGAAAAAATAGGGATGATGTGCTTTGGGAATTATATGACATGTTATAAGTGGTTTTATTCCCAAATTACCCTTTAAAAAATTATAAAGGAATTTAAGGGCTATTTAAGCCAAATTGGAATTTTTATTTGAAAAATTCTAAATAAATACTTTTAAGAATAATTAAATTCTGAGAAAATTCACAAGGTATCTCTAGGAATTATAAGGGATTATGAAGCAGAAAGAAGCCCCTTAAATGTTTAGAAATTATAGAAATGTCTTCCTGAGTAAAGAAGTTATTATGGTAATTTAATTTGTTTTCTTCTTTACTATTGATAGAAAATTGTAATGCTAACAAAGAAGAGTATTGTGGGAAGAGAAAAATGATAAGAATGTATTATGAATGTGACAGAAAATAATTACAATGGCCAAGATACTGTAATTATGAAATAGAATTTATTTCCAGTACAAAGTACACTGATAAAGTAAAAAATATACTCTTGACTTTTACTTGGCCCACAATTTGCCACTTGTCAAGCTATGAATAGAGAGGATTAAGATACTACTTGTCAAGTATAGAGAGGATTTTGACTTTGAAAAAATCAATTCATTTGGATTTAAGTTAAGGATGGAAATTAAGCAAAAAGGCATAGGGAATTGAGACATAAGCTTGGTAATTAGTGTGATCTTGGATGGTAAATAATTAAGGCTTGTCTTATAAATAGCCATCTCCCCCTCTCACAAGCTCACATTTTCAGCCAGCCTAGGGGAAGCTCTTGCATATTATTTTCTTGAAGTGCAATTGTAAAGACGAATCTACTACACTTTTAAATTAATCAATATTGAAAAGTTAACCATGATAAAAAAGAAACTTTGTAAAAATATTTAGAAATACTATCATGGTTATATAAACATCCTAAATCATATGAGATTAACCATGATAGAAAAAGAGTTAAACTAATCCATAAATATATCTATCATGGTTAAAAGAATCCTTCTAAATCAATTTCGTGTAAATCGAGATTTACAATGAATAGGGCTTTGGGTATTATAAACCCAGAGTGTCATTTTCAACTATAAACCCATAACATGATTTTACTGAATAATACCTTTCATAACTTTCTAAAATCAAAAGTTATCTGATGTTCAAGATTGTTGTGGATCCACAACTCATATAAAAAACAAATCACATGCAAGTACCTTGAGGCCTCCGGCCTTCTACCAACATGTAGTCCAGCAACAATTATCAAAAATACACTGTCAAAATAATCCATCTCAAACATATCAGAGTATGTGGAATGGGCCCTATCATGGCAATATACATCTATCCAACACAATCAAAAAAAAGTGGAAGCGCTACAATTTTGCAATAGCAGCTCAAGCTTTTGGAGTCTTCCTTGACTGACCCGAACGGGAACTATTACCTGGAAAAGTGTTAAATCAACAGGGTGAGACAAAAGCCATAGTAACCAACAATCCTACTTATCAAACATACAAGTAAGTGCTCGTGACGTGTCAAGAGAGACCATTGCAAAATCATAATATCCTATATATAGTACAATCAATAATCCTCTCACCTCCCTTATATCCACCCACCTTATATCCTCTAATTGAACCCATGGGCTAAAACCTCATCCATGTGACGGGTAATTAAACAAGCTATCCAATCAAGTGATATGGACCGGCCAAAATCCATATAGTACAAGACTAGATCATGGGTTCCTCCTCAAGTCTACTAGTGGGGCATCAATGCCCTATAAAGAATAATTGGGCCAAAGGACCAATCAGTGTACATCTGATGGCCCTACCACCTTATATCCTCAAATGTACATAATTCACCCCCTTGTATCCTCTTTGATATAGTTCCCATCATCAACATCCTCCACCCCTCACATATCAATACTCAAAAATATTATATTTAATAATAAATCATCAACATGTCAAAATCAATTTGAAATTTGCAATTCAATTACATAACACATGATATCATTATAATCTTAAACACATATATATTTTGTAAAGAAAGTCTCACAAGACAATTTCAATAACAACATAATTTTGTAGCTCATATCATAATTCAATAATATTTCATGAATCCCGTATAATTAAAAATTAATCACAAACAACCTACGAGCATGAATAATAAGTGGAAAGTGGTTACCTCTCGTTTAGGATAAGGATTATCACAAGGTTAATCCCTTGCTCAGACCAATAATCCAATAATTTAATCTACACAATCAATACATTTACATATCAATACACAAGCTATTTAATTAATTACTTAAGCTAATACATATATATAAATTAAAGTTTCTAATTCTATGCTAAACCCAAACCTCTCATAACCCATAATTAAGACTTTTAGCACAAAATTAATCTATTCCCACAATCCAAAATTTTTATTTAAACCTTTCAAAGTATTTACTTTAATACATATTTTTCTCAAATTTATAAATCTGCAATTATCATATTTAAAATTTAAAAATCCTATCTCAACTTTAAATCTCAAAAACCAACCATTAGAAATTCAATATACATCAAATATATCTAAGTAAATAATTTAGTCAACAGTTTCATAGTATAAATATCATATTTTTCATAAATAAATATCTGTTTGACACAAATAATTCATTTAAAAATATTAGGTTAGTCAATAAATGAAACTAAACCAATAGAAATGATATACTAAAATAGCTCTACAATACTATACTCATCTATTATCAAAACTCAACACTTGCTTCAAACCCTAAACCCAAAAATTATCTCTAAACAATATAAAACTACTATCATTAGATAGATTTAGATGAGTGGAAAAACTTTTATGAAGAGAATTTAATCAAAAGAAGTAATTTGGCTTACCAAAATGATCTGCAAAGTTGAAAACCCTACTGGAAAATGAGAGCGCGGCATTGGAGAACGAGGAAAAAGAAAGACGACGCTCTCTACCCCGCGAGCAGCTTCTCTCTGCTGCTATTTTCGTTCGCTGCCCTCCTTTTCTTCTCACGACACCGTTTAATGAAGGAAACGATATCTGGACCGTTTATTTCTAAGATTTGTATGGACGGTGACGAGAGGGTGACAAGAGGCAATTAACTTAAACGACGTCGTTTTAATATGTCATCTTATCCGTCGATTTTCTCATTCAATATTAGCTGTCCATATAATTTTATATATTATTTTATCATTTCCCTCCTGCAATTTAGTCGTTCATCTTCTTTCGCGCGCTGGTCCATTCTTTCTTCTTCATACAGTAGCGCAGGAAAATTAGTGGAACTGGTGGGGAAAAGTTTCAGAGAAGAGAAACAGCAAGGAAGGGTCTGTGGGCACTGGATATCAAGGATTAGTGAGTAAATTAACAATCTTTTATCAAATACTCACAATTTTTTATATGTCATATTTAGTTTATATTTATGCTTTTTCATAATCTAACTTGATAGTCTTTAAAGTTGGTGAAAGAAGATATTTTTTCTGCTGTATTTATATTCCTATTGTAGATATAATGTGCTTCTCTATGAGTTTGGTTAATTAATCTGAACTTCCGTTATACGTGTGTGCATGCTCCGTTTGTACCGAAAATTGTTTTGGCTTTATATAACTTTTGTTTTATATATAATATATTCTATACATATGTTGGTTAATAAATTTCTATTTTTGTTTGTATATATCTATTTCTATTTGTATATATACGTGTTTTAGTTTTGAGATCACAATTTCTCTACTTTCATTATATTGTATATATGAGTTTGTATTTATTTTATTTACTTATAAAAAATTTATATTATGGGTATATACCTTTCAATTTTGCAGGAGGCTTATAGCATGGATATAAATCTGATTCCTAGACTTGATCCTGAATTTGACAGTATAGAAGAATCATGGGAATTTTGGAAAGCATATGGTAGGAGGACTGGTTTCGGTGTTCGAAAACAAAGTTTTAACAAGTGTAAAAAAGACAAGTCATCATATTCTTCTTATCTATATGTTTGTCGCAAAGAAGGGGTAAAAAAGCCAGACAAACGAGATGCTCAAACAAGGAAGCCTAGAGATGAGATAAGAACAGGTTGCAAAGGAAGAATGAAAGTGAAAAATGTAAATGGAAAATTCAAAATAAATGAAGTTTTCCTAGACCATAATCATCCTCTTCAGCCTCCTGAAGCTATTCATTTGTTTGCATCTTATCGAGGATTAACATCAGCTCAACGTTATGAATTAGAAAATGCTAAAAAAGTTGGGATTAGTCAAAAATCAGCATTCAATTTGCAAAGTCAATATGCAGGAGGTCGAAATAATTTGGGATTTACAAGAGTTGATGTAAAGAATTATCTTAATTCAAAAAGGCAACAAGCTATGGGATACGGTGAAGCTGGATGTATATTTCGGTATTTTGAGCAACAATTAGCAGACAATCCGTCTTTTTTTCATGCTCACCAAATGGACTCAAATGAGCAAGTGACAAATGTTTTTTGGGCTGATGCACGCATGTTGATCGATTATGCTTGCTTTGGAGAAGTCATTTCACTTGATACAACTTACTGCACAAACTGTGAATATAGACCTCTTGCAATTTTCTCTGGCTTCAACCATTACAGAAAAGGGGTAATATTTGGAGTGGCATTATTATATGATGAGACAGTTGAGAGTTTTAAATGGCTCTTTGACACTTTTCTCTGTGCACACAAAAATGCAAGGCCATTAACTTTTTCACTGACCAAGATGCTGCTATGTCACGAGCATTACAAGAAGTGATGCCAGATGTAAAGCATGCCTTGTGCACATGGCATATTTCAAATAATGCAATGAAGCACCTTCCAAATTCAATGGTGAGTGATTTTAACAGTTGCATGTATCATTGTTGGGATGAAACTGAGTTTGAAGAATCTTGGCAAGCATTGTTGTCCAAACAAGATATGGTAGAAAACTCATGGTTGATGTCCATATATCAGATAAAAGAGAAATGGGTAGCATGCTATATGAAGAATTCAAGGACACTTGGCATGAGAAGCACACAAATTAGCAAAAGTGTCAATGCATCTGTCAAAAGCTGCACCCATGTAAAATTGGATATCAATGGATTCTTTGAAAAATTTGAACAAGTTTTGGAGGAAAAACGTTATAATGAATTGCAGGCAGATTTTGAGACACTTGACAGGTTGCCAAGGTTGATATTACAAAGTTCAAGTATGCTTCATCAACTTGCTGAGGTCTATACTCGACCTATTTTTGACTTGTTCCAATACCAATGTGATCTACGTGATGCTACATGTATAAAAGAGAGAAAAGAAAGAAAGATCACCATGAACGATGATAGTGCCACCATGTTTGATTATGTGATCACCATGGATAATAGTAAATGGGAGCATAGTTTGACATTTGAACCTTCCACAGAGACAATCACCTGCAGTTGCAAAAAGTTTGAATGAGTAGGCATATTATGTTGTCATGCATTAAGAGTATTGAATGAACTTGATGTCAAATTACTTGCTCAGAAATATATAGTAAAGAGGTGGACAAGAGAAGCACGATGTGGTGTCATGTATGATATTAAAGGGAAAGAGATTGAAGTTGATCCTAAACTACAAAGATCAACTCGATACAGACAATTATGCCCCTTACTTGTTAAATTAGCTAATGATGCATCAGAAAGTCCAGAGGCATTTGTTCTTGTTCATGAAGTTATGTTGGAACTAAGTAAGCAAGTGACTAAACTTCATATCAAATACTTATCAAATGATAGTAATGGTGATAAGGATGGTGTGGAGAATCATGCCAGCGATAATGGTGGCAAAGTTATTGGGTTTAAAAAGAGATTTGGTAGAAAGATAAGTAAATGGATAAAGAGTGGACTTGAAACCTCCCAAAGAATGAGGAGAACAAAAACCTCTAAAAGGCCTCCTCAAGCTTCACAGGTATCCTTTTAACAAGTTTAATTTTTTTTACAAATGCTTATTAGATATTCATTATTTCTTTTCAAAGCTGTTCCAGGGACAACATAGTCAACTTCAAAAATTTGAGACAGCAAATCAAGTGCATCATGATAATATAATGTTGGATAACTCTCAACCAAGTGAAATGACCTTTACAAATTTGTTGCTGGTATGTTAAATGTTGGACAGCATAATGAACTAATTTGTTTATCTCAGACATGTGTATATTGAGATGATGTTTCTATTTCTCTATTGCAGGCACCACTTGATTGCGACGTCATATCACTTGAAGCATTGGATTTTAGCCAAACACATAATACTGGTAACCATAAAGAATAATAATAATAATGGAAGAAAATAATTTAGTCATTTTGTTGAATTTTAAATTTTTTTACATAAATTTGTCTCATCTCAAGACAGTTGACAATTACAATACTCTCTCTCATTAACACTACAAAGTTATATTGTGTTTCAACTGTAGGTCCAAGGGTTGACGTAGATCCTCGCATATGAAATCTCCATGTCAATTTATTTTGCCCAGCCCTTTTGTATAGCACATGACTTCTTATGGACTACTCTATGTTTTGGTCAGCAAGCTCATCATTTTGTTCTTTTGTGTTGCTCTCTATTTTTTGGCCAACCATCATGTCCTCTAAAATGATGTAATCTGAGTTGGCTTTATTTTTTTGGTTAACCTTGCTCATTGTTTATGTAACCTGCTGTCAAACAAAGTCAATAAACAATCACTTGTTTGTACAGGGATAGAAACAGATGCTAATCAAATAGCTATCAATTATGCTATTTACCAATGTAAACAGATGGATCAAAATATTGTACATGGGTACAGTTGATGACAATCTATCGCTACTTACAACACCAGCAATATCACAGCATATAATCAATAACAGCAAGTAACATGTCTAATTTTTCAAGTTGTATGAGTTCTGAATCAACAGTATTATGAGCCTCTATGAACAGCAATTATAGATTTCAGCTTCCATCTCCCTCTTCCACTAACTATTGTTGATGCTATTGTCATTACAATCAACAATGCTATGAGTCTCTATCAATAAGGTAGTTACAATTGATGAAGGACAATTAAATGGAAAGTTTATGGTTACATATTTATTCAATTTTGTTGAAAAGGAATAACATTACAATCCATCAAACCATTCCAATCAAGGTTCTGAAAAGAAGTTTTCTATGAACATCAATTCCTGCACATAAATGAGAATCAGCTCTAAGTACATGTGACACTTGTTGAAATAGTTAAAACAGCTGAACTTTTGGTCATTTTTTGCTAAAGAAAAAAGGCTTTGAAATTTGCTGAACTAGGATCTCTTATAGTTAGCATTTATCAAAGAGCCAAAGCTACATATGAATGAATAAATAAGCATTTGTTGGATGTTCAATATTTTAATTGGACAAGTATATAATAATTAAAGTTCATCACTTCCTTGAGCACATGTAATGTGTTATGTATCAAATATTTCTGTAGATACATCATTATGTATGACCATGAAATAAACATCTCCATAACAATGAACATATTTTTAGCATTCCCACCAAAATGGTGAAGAAAAAACTACACAAATTTTAAAATGAGAAGCCACATAATTCTTCTTGTAAGAAAAAATCTAAAATGTTAGCTTACCCACTCAATGATTTCTAGATCTCTATCAGCACCACTTTCTAGTAAAATCAAGATGCACGGTGATTAAAATCAACTTGAGAATATTAGTGAGTAGAGGAAATGTACAGGAAACAACACTAAAAATCATTCATAAAAAGTAGAAAAAGAGATTCATAACCAATATTATAGCCTATTATCAATAAAAGAACAAGAACTTGACAGTTAAAATAAACTGTAGAAAAGTATTATAGGCATCAGATCATGCATACATTGAATTAACTCTAGTCCAAAAGACAAGCAACTCACGGATCAAATTCCTCCAGGAGATCTCTAGATAAAGCTGCAATTAACCTGCATAAAAAAGACTTTAAAATGCCCACTTGATTAACTCGATAAATCCTTGGAATAGAGTAAGATAATTTAATTTGGGGTTCATGAGGCATGACCAAGCAATCTCCTTCAAGAAAGAGACATAGAGAAGAAACTTAAGGAGATGGAATTCATATACCGTATGGCTTGTCACATATACCGTCTCCTTCCTCTTGAATCGGTGAGAGAGGAAGCCGCAAAGATCGAAGCCATTTTGATAGAGCCGCAAATTGGAGTTGGTCGCTGTTTTGATGCCACCGTTCAATAGTCGATGGGTTGATGGGTCTGTGAAACACAACCTGCAGCAACTAATGGTTTGGATTAAAATTAATGGAGGGCTGAGATTCTGTTTTATAGGACAGAAATGGTGTCGTTGGAAGAAAAGGAGGGCAGTGAACGAAAACACAGTGGAGAGAACCTGCAGCAACTAAGGGTTTGGATTAAAATTAATAGAGGGCTGAGATTCTGTTTAATAGAACAGAAACGGTGTCGTTGGAAGAAAAGGAGGCCAGCGAACAAAAATGGCAGCAGAGAGAAGCTGTTCGCCTCTACCCCGCTCCCAACGGTTAAAACAACATTTTGGGGTAAATTTCGGTTAGAGACCCCATGTTAAAATGGGACAAAATTACAGTTTGGTACCCTATTTTTCCCATTTTCTATGCATTTTTTTTATCTGTTTTATTATTATTATTATTATTTAGTAATTTTCTTATATGTGTATATATTTTATAAATCTTATTTTCAATAATTCTCTTTTCTTAAATGAATAGAGAATAAAAGTCATTTATTAAGTATTAAACTCCTTCTAAACTTAATTAAACACTAGGAATAAAAACTGGGATGTTACAACAATCAAGAGGAAACCATCTACTTTGGTCACTTAAGCTTGGATATAAGGTTAGTTTGATGTTCTACCTTGTATATCGCTTTGTATTCTTGGATTTGATTGTTGAAAAATGTGGATTCCTCGAAGGGGAGGTGCTGGCCGAAATGTATTAAAATAGGGGAAGATGACTTTGATGTTAAACCTAGTTTAAAGGCATTGGTTATAGTTTGTTTCAAGTGGTATTGTATTGAAATTTGAAAGATTGCATGATATGGTCATTATGGTGCTGTTCAGCTAACTTTGAATCTTTACCCTAAGATGTGTTTTTGTGAGTTTTGATGCTTCTATTGGGTTTAAAATGAAAAATAGTGTGAGGTAAACCTAAAGAACAAGCTTTGAAAGTATTGAAATTAAAGTTGAACATTTAGGATTTTTGTACCCTATTTGGCCAACACTATTTGGGAAGGAAGGAATTTTCTTTTCATGAATCCAAACTCATATTTGAGTTCTACATGAAAAATTATGTGGGATTGACCTAAGAGGATAATTTTTAGGTTAAAGGAAATAAACCTCCAAAATTCAAAGAATTAAGGGTTAAGGGTTTACTTAAGAACTATCAACAAGTCTTGTGTAGTTTGAACTGTAATATGGTTGCCCTTTTTATAATGTAATGTTTAGGATTGGACATTTTTGCTGGAAAAGAGCAAGAACAAAGACCAAGAGAGCACTTGGATTAAGGTAGCAAGATTTAATTAACTTTAATGCTGATATTGCATTGATTGCTATTGTATGAATAATTGCTATTATGTGGTTGAGTTGTTTATGTGCTGCTCCTTGCATTGAAATGCCTTACCTGTTACATGTTAGAGATTGCCTAAAGTATGAGGAAGGATTAGTTCCCTAAAGATAGTATATATTGAAATGCTTGATGATAGTGCATGTTTGATGTTATGGTTGATTTTATCTTGCTATTAGGATTTCAATAAAATCTCATTCCTTCCAAAAGCAATTAATTTTCCTAGGGCTGAACCATCAAGGAGGAAGAAGAAAACCTTGAAAGGATGATGTATATTTATGAAAATTCCTTGACTTTTGACAATGTAATTAGATGTATGCGTGGATGATATAATCCTTTAAGCTGTTATCTTGGAGTTGTAATTTGACTGAGTTTCTATCCATGTTAAATTCTGAATTTTGGCATGAGTTTAGTTCACATCTTAAACTTCAAATCAATAGGTAGCATGTTCAATTTGGATATATGTACGAATTATGATGATTTTTCAAAATTAGAGATTGAAATCTAAAAAAAGTTTTTGACTAATAGAAAAGTAGTAACTTCCGTACAAATATGGCACTATTGTACATTGAATTGGTTTCTAAGATTATTTTTTCCTTAAAGAGAAATTAAAGATCTTTTAGTAGAATTTGGAACCACTCTATTTCATTTTTTTAAAAATTAGTTATGAATTTTTAAAGTTAAACAAAAATTCTGGAATTACTAAGTGAACAGAAAATCTGTAGTAACATCCCAAATCTGTTTTCTTGAGGTTAAGGCCATCCAAAGTAGTCTGATTTGACATAAAATGGACTCTAAGATATTATAGAAGTAAGGTGTAACAAAATCTCATTAGCTTGTCTATATGATGATCAAAGTCTCTATTAAGTCTTGTACATGCAATAGAATCAAGTAATTTCAGTACAACTTTCTTTATCTGTCTGCTGGTCTTTCTCTTTCCCCTGGTTATTTTTAAGAATTTAGTGCTATAATTCTTCTTCACATGACAATAGCAAAAAGCATGTTGATCTTTTCCAAACACGGTTTGCATTGCACCTTTTATTTAGTTGTGTCTATCCAATACTATTATTAATTCTAATAATCCTGTAATATCGTTTATATTACCCAAAAACTATGCCCACTTATCAAAGGTCTCACCTCCCACAATTGGATATGCAAGTAAAAATAATTCATTGTCCGCGTCATATGCTTGTGCTCCCAATAAAGTCTTTTTGTACGAATCACTCAAGGGACATCTATCCACATATAATATAAGTCTAGTATCTTCCAAAAACCCTTTTATACAACAACCATATGCAATAAATACAGCTTAAACTATATTATTTGATAATGCAACTCACTTTGCTACAGTTTCTAGATCACTTTCCTTTAGCCTTTCACATATCCAAGGGATTAACATATAAAATTCCTTTAAACAATCATGAATTTGTGCTAATGCTTTTTCTTTCGCCCTATATGCTTATTGGTAGTTGAGACTCAACCCATATTCTCTTTCCAAATCCTGTCTAATATCATTTGGAGAATTGTCTATGCTAGAACTCAACTCATCTATTATCATTGCTGAAGTAAGTCAGCACCTCTTCGTGTAAGGGACAAATAAGTTGTCTTATACATAATGCAAGTTTTCATTGTTAAATCTTCTTACAACTAAGAATGTATTCTTCTTATCTACACCATATGTTGAAATTCCCATAGACAACCATCTACACAGTACTTCACAATCATCTTCTACTTATCATTCTTGACAAATCGATATGCAAACTTGTGTGTAAGGTTATACTTATATAATGATTTTCTAAAATGTATAGCATTAAGAAAAGTTTGACCTTTTGACATCAACAAATCTGTCCACTTTGAAAAATTCATTATCGCCATTGGGTTGGCAACAT